CCGGCCCCCCAGGCGAAGGCGGACAGGCGGAAGCCAGGAGCACTGCGACCACAGGAGGAGCCAGGAGTGGAGGTCCCTGCAGTGGTGAGTCCAGGCTACGGGATGTGGAGTGGGGCTGGAGCTCCCTCAGCCTCACCTTCCCTGGATACATGGGGTATCCACCAGCCTGGGAGCTGGGCTGGGGGGAGAGGTAGATTGGGCTGGAGAACAGCAAGAGTAAAAGGAGGGTTAGGATCTGCAGGAGATGCAGCCAAGCCCCCTTGAGGCCCTGCAGCCTCAGCTCTCCAGCAGGGCCATCAGGCCTGTCCTGGATGCAGGGACCCATGGGAGCAGGGCAGGGAGAGCAGTATTTGTCAAGTGACTGTGTTTGACCCTCAGGAGGTGGCCACAGAGGAGCCGTGTTCACAACTGGCCCCTGCAGAGGCTGCAACGAGGGAGGGCAGTGCAGACAGGCTGGCCCAGCTGGGCCCCGGGACCAAAGCCGAAATCCCCAGTGCCGTGTCCCCCAGGTAAGGTGGGTCTGTACCCCATGTGAGGGGTGAGGGCTCACGCTGGCTCCCTGGGGTGAGTGGGGGTTGGTGGAGGTGGGATTTCCTCAACAGCATTGCCTCTCCTGCTTCTCGCTCACAGCAAGGCAGAGAGCAAGCAGTTGTGGCGTCCCCGCAGCACCTCCGTGAAGGACCGGCAGAGCTCCAAGGGACAGGGCGGCCGCGCCAGCAGCCTGGACAGTGAGAGCTCTCCAGACTCGTGGCACAGCACCCAGGTGAGCACACCTTCTCACTCAAGAGCCCTGCCAGGCTTTCAGCCATGGGCAGAGCAGCCAAGGCAGCTGGCTGGAGTTAACTTTTGTGGTGATGCTGTCATAGGTGCCCCGAAAGTCTGTTTACGATCAGCTGAACCAAATCCTGGTCTCAGACGAGCAGCTCCCCGAGAGCATTGTGCTGGTGAACGTCGCCGAGTGGCAGGGGCAGGTAAGTAGGCGTGATGGGAGCTGGATGCATGGGGGGAGCTGTAAGCAGGGTCCCAGGGGATTCTCTCAGCCGTGACAGGGTGTCCTAGGGAAGCTGACACCAGCTGTGCACTCCTCTTGCCCAGCACGGCCCTTCCTCTGGGGACACAGTACATTTGCATAATGCTGAGCTACTGCACAAGAGTCTGGTGTGTCTCCTCTGTCATGTGCCACACACCAGCAGTGCCAGATCCTCAAAGCACGATGTCCCGACCAGTGCCAGAAAGGCTGCTTAACGGGCTGTGCCTTGTACCCTCACTGCTTGGTCCTGTCTCCCAGTGACCCCACTGGTCAGATGCCGTGGCAGAGGTGCCAGACTCTCCACTGGCACCAAGCCCTGGGAAGAAGCAGAGGGGCCATTTCTCACTCAGAGATGGGAGAGTGTATCCTGCCACTCCCAGGGAGCATTAACTGCATTGTCAGAGCTGGGGTCTGGGCAGGGAGCACATGAGGCCATCCTATCTCGTGCTCATCACCATCGTGTCCATGTGAAGACGGGCCCAGCCCATGGCAAGCACCTGCCTCCCCCATGCATGGAGGAGTTGACTGCTGAAGGTGAGCAGGGCCATGTATGTGTGTGTAAACACGCAAACAACGGTTATGTGAAGCACTGGTGAGACCCCTCTTGGAATCCTGCAGCTACATCTGACATCCAGAAACAGTGCTGGAAAATCAAGGCAGGGTTTGTGATAGAAAAAAGAGCCTCTCAGTGAGAGGCGCTGGAGTCTTGACCTAAGCTGTGCATCCTTGGTGTGTTCCTGCTCTGGCCCTTGTCCTGATGGGGAAAAAGGAGTAACACCCATTTCCAGACCCTGTCATGACATCTTCTAAACCCCCTTGTCCACCACGACTGCCTGTTTCACCACTGTTCAGCTGCATGCAGGCACCTGAAGAGGCACAGAAGGATTTTGGAAAGCCATAGTGGGAGAGAGCAAGAGAAGGGAATGAGCAGAGGAGGACTGAGCCTAGATCTGGGCCCTGCTGTGGGATGGCAGGATTTAGATCAGAGGGTCACTGGACCCACTTTATCTGAAGGAGCACAGCCTGGTTCTTGGGACAGTTTTGCCCTTGCCTTCGCAAGGATGGTGACTGCTGTGCTCCAAGGCACAGCTGGAGCCCAGCTGGGGTGGAGTGGGGATGCTCAGGCATGCAGCCAGGGGGGACCTGATGGTTTCAGCCACCCCACATGGCCTGGGTGGGGACAGGGGCCCCAGCATTATCCTTGGAGGCATAGGGGCTGGGGCAAATGTGGGCTGGTGCTGGCCAGCAGAGCTATGGTCCCCCAGGGTGCCTTAACTCGAGCTCTCTGCATTGGCAGTACGTGAGTGAGCAGCTCCAGGCGCACAAACAGTTGGTCGTATCCACCTGCTCCGTTGCAGACATCCAGGCAGCCTTCAACACCACGGTCTCCCGCATCCAGCGATAGTGAGTACAGCTTGGGCTCAGCCTGGCGACTCCCTGTGACTGCAGAGAAGGGCTGGGAAAGGCCCTGGCTCCCCCAGGGCTTGTTTGTACCCTTTGGGATTGTGGACACAACTGTCAGAGCTAGGTGTAAGCCCTTGGGAAAGCAGGGGATCCCAGTGCTGGGTTGTGCCCATGGCAGTGCTCAGCAGGATGGAAGTGGTCAGCAGTGGGTTTCTGATGCTGGGTCAGCTGGCCTGGCAGGGCACATCCCCTGCTGCCCGATCTACCCGCTAATCCACTGCACGTCCCTCACAGTCTCCTTTTCTCTCCCTTTGACAGCTGTAACTGTAACTCCCACATGCCTCCTCCAGTGAAGGTGGTGGTGGCGGGGGACCAGAGCTACCTGAGCGTTGTCCTCCGTTTCTTCGTGGAGCAGCTGGCCAGCAAGACGCCTGACTGGCTCAACTACCTTCGCTTCCTGCTTGTGCCGCTGGAGCCCAGCCTCAGTGTTGTCCTCCCCCACCACCCTGGGCTTCCCTGCCAATGTCACCCTTCTCACCCACAGGTTCTCACCCTCTGGCCAAGTACCTGGCCTCGGTAGACAACAAATACAGCACTCTCTTCCTGGACACGGCGTGGC